GTAAAGACTATAACCTCAGGCATTTCACTAATGGGTGGATTAACTTAATCCTGATTATGGATTAAGTTAATACCTTACTTGGAGAAGTCCTTGAGTAATTCCCCCCTTCTTGAGTACTCCCCTCCCTTCTTCTGGTAACTAAATAAACACAGGCCACCCAGAGAAGGTCTTGGTCTTAGCCCTGAGAGAATCTCAAATTCTCTGAAAAGGCTTTGATCCTCTTGGAGCTCTGAAATAATTCCATTTGCTTCTGTTTATTTAGCCTTCACTGCACACTCATTCAGGAGATTGCAGACCTGATCAGCCTGCAATAACTAAGGGATATTATTAACCTGATACACATGTAGGAAGTTCTTTGCATTGTTTTCATCATAACTGATGGGAAGGAGAGGCCAGACAGGTGTGTTTGCCTGAGGGCCTTGGAGGCTGTGGATTGCTGTCAGCATCAGACAATGAGTTTGGATAGCACAAAGGTGGCTCCAAGTTGCCAGGAGTGTTGTCTGGAAATCGACCCACCACACTGTCCCTAAGGACAGCATCAGTTCCTCACTCATGGTCAAAGTCACCCATACCAGACTCTTCTAATGAAAATACGGACTTTAGAATAACAGTTGCTAGCTGCTTGTCTCAGGAGCTGTGCTTGGAGAATACAGGAAACAATCCTTGTGTTCTCCCACTTAGTACACAAGTGGCAAGGTGTGTGTACATGTGTCAAAGTGTAAATGGGTGTGTTTTGCCCACATGATATGCCATGTTACATTTTTGTGTATTTATAAACATTGTATTAAGCATTTTCTTGTAGAATTAGCCCAATTCAGTACAATATCATAGGAAAATCTGCCTTTACAACTTTGGAAGGAAGTTGAAAGTGAGTCATCAGGTGACTTGGCTATCAGTGATGACTTAGGTCTTATGAGCCAAAGAGGTTAGCAAAATATGACAGACAGCAGGTGCCCCCTCTGGGAGGCCGTGCAGCTGGGGGGGGCGGTGCAGGCCCCTCGGGGCCCAGTGCACCTGGCCGTGAAGGTACCCGGGGAAGCAGGCAGGTTGCAGGTGCCCGCTCCGGGAGGTTGCTCAGCTGGGGAGCACGGGCCCTTTGGGGCCTGGTGCACCCAGCTGCTCTGGTGCCTTGAAAGGCAGGCAACAGGCACCCGGGAAGTGGTGTGGAGACGTGCGCCAGCCCTCAGGCCAGCCGCTGCCACGCAGTCAAGAAACGCCATGCCACAGAGAAGCAGTGACACAATAGGCCCACCTGGAGACGTGCATGAATCATCCCAACATGGAGAAACCTCTGGGAAAACATGCCACATGGTGGGTTGTTCTTGGCCCTGCCCTTGAAAGCCAGAAAAGTCTGGAGTCAGTGGAGGAGGAGCTGATGAACAAGGACTCAGAGAACACGAGAGTACCAACACCCGACAACTCAGAGGTTGAACTGACTGGGGATGTGGGAGCCATTCAGGAGCTCGAAACAAGGAAGACCTTGCACAATACCTGGGGAGACCCCCCTGGGTGTCATTCTTCCCCTAACTGTACAGGCTGTGGTGGAGGAGCAAGTAGAGCTCTGGAGAGGTCTGCAACAAGACTTCATGGATTACATGGGTGCCCGATATTCAAATTTTGAAGAACTGCCTTCATGGAGAAGGTACATGTCTAGGTTACCTGCCTGGGACACTTTGCACCTGATGGTGCTGAGACTGACTAGCGGTCGGAGGACTTCATCCACATGTTCCTGCCGCCTGTGTTGACGGTTGGGGAGAGGACACTAAGTGGTTGCAGGATCCCAATGTGCTGGGAGGCTGGAGAGAACACCCCTCTGCTTTCTTAGACAAGAGGCATTGATAAAGCACACTTCCCTGGATCCCAGGTCAGTAGAGGGACAAACTATTCTTACAGATAAGTTTATTACTCAGTCAGCCCCAAATAGTAGAAGAAAAGCTACAATAAATGGCTTTTGCCCAAGATAGCTCACTTGAGATGTTAGTAAGAATTGCCTCCTCAGTATTTTATAGCCATAAGGAGGAGGAGGAGGCCAAGGAGAGAAAACAAAGAGACTGAGAAAAAACAGCTGCCTTTGTTGCAGCACTAAGGGAAACAGACCCTAAGTCCGATTCTTGGGGCCCGAAGAAGATCTCGTTGACTACATTTATCTTCTACGGCTGTCAAAAGCCAGGCTACCTCAAGAAGAACTGCCCTAAGAAGCCCCCTGGGCTATGCCCTGATTGTAAAGGTGACCACTAGAGTTCGGACTGCCCACTGAAGCAAAGGCCCCAGAGCTCAGACCCTTTCTACCAGCTTGTCCAATAGGAATGAAGGGGCCCAGGGCATACTCTGCCTTCTCCCTCTGGTCAGACCATTATCTTCAAGGAGGAGCCCCTCGTAATCATAACTATAGAGGAAAAAATAAACAGCCTGTTGCTGGACACTGATGCTAGTTTCTCGGTCCTTCTTTTCAGTCCTGGCCTTCCTTCCAGCCATCACACCTCAGTGAAAGGAGTCATGATGAGGAGGTAATCTGCTATTTTTCACAACCCTTGGGCTGTAACTACTTATTAGATCTTTCTTGCATATCTTTGTTTTCCTGAGAAACCACTTGGAAGATACCAACATGTATTACAGCAGCCATTGATAATTTCCTACCAATCTGTCCATAATTCTGTAATGTTTCTGTTGTTCCTATGTTATTTTGTAAATGGGTGTATATTTATTACTATGTGTTTTCAACAACAACCATTGAGACTAGTCAATGATTATTTAATTGATCACTCATGTATAGCTCTATTTGTTTTCCCTAGAAACCACTTTGAAGAAACCAAAGTATAGTACAACAACCATTGATAATTTCCTACCTTTTTTGTCTGTAACTCACTATTCTTTGTTTATTTGTTTTCCTGAGAAATTATCTTGAAGATACCAATAGGTAAAATAACAACCATTGATAATGTCCTGCCACTTTGTCTGTAATTCATTAAATCCCCCTACTACTATGTTATCCTTCTTTTACTCTTTTAAATAAAAAGAAAAGAAAATATATGAGAGATAGGAAAATATAGAGCAAAGACCTTGATGCAAATGAGGGAGAAAACAGTAATATAAATAAATATTTGACAGTCAAAATTCTAAAAATGATCCTGTGTACCTGAATGATCCAACATTAGAACTAGATCAGAAAATGTTATCAGGTTCTTGTTGGGTGAAACCTATTGGATGGATGCCAACACTGTGATTCAGTGTTGGAAATGGTTTGTAATAGACGATATGCTACAAGGTGTTTTGAAATACAGTAATAATGAAATACCAGTAAAACCTTCTAGATGCATCAATAATAATACTCAAAAATATATTTATCATGACATCTCACTATCTTCATAGCAGGACTTAGTCATTCTAATTGTCAGAATCTAATGGATTTTTTGGAAAAGTGACAGGTGTGTTTTGAGATAACGACACTCCAGGGAGTTGATTTCCTTCAAGATTTCCTACATTTTAATGAAAAAAGGCCCACCAAAACAGAAAAAAAATCCAACAATTTGGCTGCTGTTCACTCATTTTTTGAAAACTTTGTTTCGAACTGTCAAGCAATTTATGCACTGTCTGAATACACGACAACTGATGAACAATTTGCATCATTTCGTGGTTGTTGAAGCTTCAGCATTATATGCCAAATAAACCTTCCAAATGTGGTATAAAAATATATGCCCTGGTAGATGCAAAGATATTTTACACCTTGAATTTAGAAATTTATCCTGGAACTCAGCCAACAGGTCTTTATTCGTGCAATAATAAACCATATGACATTATGAACAAATTTGTTGCATCTATTTCAAAAAGTAACCCAAACATCAGTTTGACAGTTGGTTCACTAGTTACCCACTGATGTTACATTTGCTAAAAGAACACCAGTTGACCAGCACAGGAACTATTTGCAAGAACAAAGCCGAATTCCTGAAAAATTGTTGTAAGTTCACAGTAGAGAAATATATAGTACAATCTTGGGATTTCAGAGCAACATAACATTGGCCTCCCATTTGGTGAAGAAAAACAACGTACTTCTGATACTGTCAACTTTTCACCATGATGATAAAACTGATAGTGAGGCTGGGTGCGGTGATGTAATCCCAACATGTGGGAGGATGAGGTATGAGGATCCTGTGAGTTTAAGGTCAGCCTGTGCTACATAGTTCAAGGCTAGCCTGGGCTATGTAGCAAGACCCTGTCTCCAAACAAACAAAGACTGATAATGAATCTTTAACAAAAATGCAGCCAGAATGGTCACATTTCACAACAAAATGAAAGACAACTAGTTGTTGACAAGTTATGTAGCAACTATGATGTCACTCAAAAGACAAAGTGTTGGCCAATGGTTGTGCTTTACTTATTCTAAACATGTCAGGCATAAATTGTTTCATAGTTTACAAAGAAAATAATAAGTGCAAAATATTATGGAGAAATTTTGTTAGAGGATTGGGACTGGAATTGATAAATGATCAGTTACAACAGAGGAAGAGCAATATGTATCTGCCCAAAGAACTCCAAAAAAGAACTCTGGAGGAGACCAATAAATAGGTGAAACATCACAAGAACTTCCTAAGGAAACAGGAAGACCAGCAAGATGTCAAGTATGTCCCACCCAAGAAGACAGAAAACAAAACACATGTGCTGTCAGTGTAAGCAAGACTTGTGTATGGAACGTACTGTTGTCATGTGTGAAGCCTGCCTTAGGTGTGATGATAGAGCTTTATTTGTATTTCCATTATAGTTCCCACAGAATTTATTTCTGCTGTTATTTGCTATGTCTTGTAAGCAGGTCCTTACATATTAAAATTTAATATTTTATTTCATTGACATTTTGTTTTGCTGTTAAGTACACACTGTTTAAAATAATAAAGCTCATAAAATTAAAAGCAATAACTTATCAGTAGAAACACTCTTTAAAAATAAATGTGGTATTTAACACTCCCCATAATGTACCTTTCAAAAAATTTGCACTGATGCCCCCACAGGGCACAAGCCAGGAGCCTGCTCTGCTCACACCTGCGGGATGGAGGAGCATCAGCAGCTCCGCAGTATCTGTGGGTGACAGATTTATTTGAAGACACATCCAATACACACCTGGAGTGCAGATGTTGGCTTTTTATAGACTCCAAGTTCTTGAGCCTACAGGAGTTGCCCTGTCCTGAGAAATGTAAGTAAAACTTCCAGGAACACAATTCCATGTATCATGAGAACCCCTGGTGCTTCCTCCAACCCCTCTGATGCCCAGGGACTCTCTGGTACTTAGGATTCTCCTGACTGTGGGCTGCAACTGCATGCTTGACCTCTTGCTGAGTCTTCTAGAGCTACTTCTTTCTTACTACTCAGAATGTATCAAGGCGAGCTTTCCTGAGGATACCAGAGCCCCACCTCCACCAGGAGATGACAGGGAGTGTGATTCAGGTGAAGATTTGGGTTGAGGTTCGTGGGCTAGTGGGCTGCCCTGCTGGAAGTGGCATAAAAGCAAACAGCTATTCTTAAAATCCCCCTGGCCAGCAGTCCTGCTAGGTCAAGTGATGATTCTGTGTGACTCAGAAAAGAGCACACCTTTCTGGAGCTCTTTCTTATCACCTGCTGAGAAGTTGTCTAAATAACTGTGAATGAGGTCCGCTATCCCTCCCAGGAGTTGCACAGTGTACGGAAGGCACAACAGGAAGTGGCAGCCAGTCTTTCCACTGAGAGCTTCTCCCTGATCACCTCTTTTCCAAGGCCTCAACCTTCCTGGATCTTAATGTCAGAGTCTGTCGTCCCTACCACTTTCCCCACTAGGCTCTCTCAGCTTCCTTCTGTTCTCGTCCTTTCATTTCCTTCCTTTTCAGATTCCTTGGGGTGGTTTATAATCTTATTCCATTACATTAGCGAGAGCTCTGCATTTCCTACTTCTCTCTCCTACACATCTCACCCCGGTGCCGGCCAGTTTAGTTCTTTAGGTTCTCACACTTGATTAATTTATTCATAGGATGAGATTCTTCATCATGAGAAGTCTCCATAGCATGTCAGTCCCTTTTCATGGACACCTCACACCTTCAAACGAATTTCAAGAACATCGTCTTCACGTCTTCTCCCCAGAACCCTAGAAGTAAATGCTCCCTACATCTGCAACCCCACTTGACTGATGAAAAATTAGTGCCGAAGAAGTGTACGTGCTGCATGAGGCTGACACAGGCCCAAGGACTGAAGCATAGATCTGCTCAGGCCAAGACTTCATTTCTCTGTGAGGTTGGAGCTTCTTTGCCTTGGAAACGGAGCACTGTAACCTCCCACTCCTCTTCGCAGGGTAGACATGAAAAAATTTGTCCTTTTTGGAAAAAGAAAAATCAAATAAACAAACAAAACACGTAAAACACACGACTCAATACTAATGCAGGTCTTCAGTCCCGAACCCAGACACAAGTGTGCCACAGGGCAGACGTGGAAAGAAGCCTCAGAAAAACTCGGTTGGAGTTGTCTCTAAGGACTCTGAGCTAAGTAGGCTGAACCCAAGGAGGAAGTGAAATCTTTTCCCAGGATTTCCCCGGAGAGGAAACTGGAAGATTGAGAGTCGGTGAGAAATAACAGATACTTTACCAAGTGTTTAATTAGGAATAGAGCAGTGGTGGGTGTAGAAGAGTTTTATTTCTTAATTTTTCATTTTTTGGGTCTTTTTTTCAGGTACCAGGGATGGAACTCATGACCTTGCACTTGCCGGGCAGGCTCTGTGCTGCTAAGCTAAGTCCCCAGCCCCGGGTTTTAAAAATTAATAAAAATAGCAAAACATTTAGAGTGCTTTCCTGAATCACATAATTTTAGGGCTACTATGGACCCAGAAAATTACCTAAAACTCCCTTCACTGTTTTTTTATAAAAAGAAGTAATACTTTGAGTCACAAGCAGGATCAGCTATATAATTCATTGGACCTGTTGCAAAGTTAAACCTGTGGACTTCCTGTCCAAATACTATCAACAATTTCAAGATGGAAAGAGCAGGTCACCGAACCAAATATGGGATGTTTCTAAGCGCAGGGCTTAATGGGACTGCACAGGTCACACACCTGGGAAGCCATCCCCGGGCACCAGGATTTCACATTTGTACGCAATGTATGGTGCATATTGCCTCTTCATAGATAATCAAATTTGAGTTTCACAATAGCCCAGTGGAGTAGCATGAATATGGTCTTTATTTAAAACATTTCCAAATGGGGATGAGTTCACCAGCCGTGACACTCTGATGGAGTAAAACGACCCTCTGCCCTTCGCATCATTTCTGTTTAATATGATGGCACTTGATTAATCTGTTAGATTAGGTAGGACTTGGCTAATTTGCTCATGGATTTTCATTTAGCAAACTCATTAGCGATTCCTGCAAGATGAACACTTGGGTAGGCATTTCAGACGTCTGCTGTGAGTTTCACAATAACCCCGAGAAGGATGTCAGTACCATCAGCACACTGAAAGTCAGGGAGGAGAGGGTAGACACTCAAGCCAGGATGTGCTGTGATGCTTATTATTGATTGACTGATTGACTCGGTTGAACTGGAGATTGACCCCATGGCCTTGTCACTGAGCTATGTCCCCAGCCCTTTATTATTATTATGTTTTTTTTGAGGCAGGATCTTGCTAAGTTGCTAAATTCCCCAGGCTGGACTCAATCTTGACATCCTCCTGCTGCTGCCTCCCAGAATGCTGGAATTACAAGTGCTTGTGATGCTCTTTTAAAAAATATTATTGTCTATGAAATGAGATACAGAAGTAAATTTCAAATTGTCAAGTAAATGAAAGGCAAAATGATGAGTAAGTCACTAAACCACTCTTCTTCCTTTCCTACTCTCTCTTTCATCTCCTCTGCTAAAGTTTCTAGGGTGGGAAGCATAGAAGCATGAACATAGAAGCTTCATATTATCAGAGGAGAGTCTAGCAACTGAGTTAAAAGCAAACCAATTGGTCTGAGCCCCGCCCCTTGGCAGGGACCCAGGCTGCTCACTGAATATGCATGAGCTATCTCCCACCTAGCACGCTGGGCAGGTGGCCCAAGCCACAGACCATAAGCAAGACTAGAGTGCAGCCAGTGACCTCAGAAGCCTTGTGCTGGACGCTGGAATCACAAGGTTGGAGCACACTGACTCCCTGAGTCTCGAGGAGGGGAGTTTCCCTGGAGACAAATGGGACTCCCAGTGGCCTGGAGCAAAATGGGCCTTGCCGCGAAAGCCGCTGGGATCTGGGAGCTGGCCCCTGCAGCAGAACCTAACACCACCCCAACTGATCTACTCCACGTACGCGATCCCTCTCGCTCACGCCTGGCCTATTTGCCTGCTGACCTTCAGGAATAGCAGTGTGAGTGAGGCATAGGAAGCCTTCCAAAGTCCTTCCTGCTGCTGCTCTTTGTTACTACTAAAAGCTTCTGATTGCTGGCTGAATTCTATTTTCACTTTAAAGACAGACAGGCCTGAGCCCAACTCATGAAGAATTAAGAACAACCAGGAGCTTTGATAATCACTAGATCTTTCTCATGTAAAAGAGTTTAGGAAAAAAGTGTATAAGCACTGCAGTGATAAGCAGGTGGATGTCTATTTTACCGACCCTGGTACTTGTTTAGGGGGAAACTTTCAAAGGGAAAATGTTTTAGCTACTTGTTTTCTTAGCCATCGATGTACAGGAAAAACGGAGACTCCCAAGCATAACCATAAATCTAACATTTAAGTAGCTAAATAAAGCAGTTATTTTAAAAAACAAGATAATAAAATGTGATCATCTCCTAAGTCTTGAAGTCAGCAACATACAGGGATGAATTTTCCCCCGGGAAGTGATCCTCCTCAAAGGCTAAGAGCTCGGCCAAAGATGTCCTCCTCACAAGTTGGCCTCTGTGACAATGCTCACATTCCTTCATCTGTATGTCAGTATGGGCACAGTTTGCCGTAACAAAATGCCACCAGCCGAGCGGTTCAAACCACTGAGATTTATTTTCTTACGGTTCAGAGGTTGTAAGTTCATGATTAAGAAGTCAGCATGGAGGGAGCACTCTTTGTACATGGCTGCCGTCCATGCCTACCCAACCTCTTCGTGCAGAAAGAGATAGAGACGAGACACAGACAGACAGAGACAGAAAGAAAAAGAAGGAGAAGGAGGCAAGGGAGGAGGAGCAAGAGGAGGGAGAGGAGAGGAGGAGAGAGGGAGAGAGAGAGGAAGAAGAGGAGGAGGAAGTGGAGAGAAAGGAATGCAAAGGAAGGGAAGGGAAGCAAAGGGAGATTTCTCAGGTGTCCCATCTTATAAGCATGCTAATCCCACCATGGGGGCCCACCCTCATGACACACTAACCTTAACTACCTCCCAAAGGCCCTGTCTCCACATAGTATCACCTTGGGAATTACAGCCTCAACATCGGAACTGTGTATCTGGAGCAGGAGGAAGGACACAATTCAGTCCACAGCAGGTGGGAAGCGCGGACTCTAGAACTGGCTGCCCGGTGTGGGCAATGTCACCAAGAGCAATTGGGCTTCTGTAAGCAGCCTGAAGACTTCCGAAAGGATATGGCTGATAGGTGAGTGGTCCTGAATTAGGGTGACGGCGTCGAAAGAGGAGAGAGATCTGAGGTGGACTGTTCACACCTTGGGAGCAAAGTGAAGGAATTCACCAAGGTCACCAAGACTGCGGCCCAGAGCTGGGAGAGTGTTGGTGCTGTCACCCAAACTGGGAAGCCAAGAGGAGGAACCAGTCTGGACAGGGGGAGGATACAGGGATTTGATTGGAAACATGCTCACCTTGGGGTCACCATGAGTTTGTATGGGATGTCCCAGCAAAACGGCGATATCAGAATGTCCCTCATCCCCATTAATGAAAACTCTATATGCCATAACATAAGCTAAGATGAAAAATATCAATTAGTGTGAAAAGGGGAGGGGGAACCAAGGAGGAGGGAAGGAAGATGATTAAAACAAAGAAAGCAGTAACATGTACACATAACCACACCCCAAGATGGTTGGGAACTGCATGAATTGCAAACACATATTAATAATATTTAAGAAACAGTTTTAATGTCACTTGTGAGGAGGAAGGGACAGCTCTGTCTTGGGCCAAGGGGAAAGAATAGAGTCTAGGTGGGACTCATTTCGTGAGCTGTTGCTTGAACACCGAGCTGAAATTCCCTTTGGCTGGACATAACTGATGTGCAGACGGCCACTCTGGGGGTTAGAGCTCTGCAGGGCTCATAGCTCCGCGGGCACAGCTGGCGGGCTGTCGAGTTCCTCGTAAGGACCCCTCAGTAGACCTGTTTTCCAGCGCCTCGTGGCACACAGATACGACTGACTACAAAGTCTGCACATGTGTGAGGGCTCAGGTAAGTAAGCTTACTTACAGGAGGATAGGAGACACACCGGCTGGAAACTCAGCCTGGAAGGACAGGAAACAGAAGAGGGATGAGCAATGGCCATTAGCTTTGTGAAAGAAGTAGGAAGGGAAGAGAGAAGCGAGTGAACAAAAACCAAGCCCTTTCTGTGTCCTGGGCTAAATGCAGGTAACACCAGGTCAAGATGACCGGGTCTCAGCTGGCAGTGTGGGAGGAAGAAAGCCAGCTACAGACCCGAGTGCAAAAGCCACTCATGAGAATCACACCGGGTGGGACACTTTGATATGGATGCACAATACTTAGCAGTGGAGCCCATGGTCAGGCAGTCCAGTTTTAGGTAAAAACTGAGGTCCTGAGAGGTTAAATGAGGTTCTGAGAGGCTAATCGTGTGACCCTTATGACTTGCCCAGACTCACATTTCAGAAGCACTTCACACTCCGGTCATGTGTTGCTGATGGCGGGGAACGTTTCCGAGAAATATGTCATTAGCTGAGCTCATCCTCCTGTGAACATCACAGAGCACAGTTGCGCACACCCAGGGGTGCAGGCCAGTCAGCCCATGGGTCTCGATGCCATCGAGCTGCAGGGAACACAGGACCTGTGAGGGTTTTGCTTTTTACTGTGATCAGTGTTTTAGTAACAAGAAGTACAGAGTAAGAAGCACTCTCACCAGCAGCACAGCTGCCTATCATCACTGCCAGGTGTCCGCACTGTACAGAATTAGGTGTGCTGTACTTTCACATCACAGCAGCACCACAGACACAGGAATAATGCAGGACACTACGTTACTTGGCAGCAGGCCTTTTTCATTACCATTTAATAGCATGAACATTGTATATGTGGTCTGTTGTTGACGGACAAGTCACTATTCAGTGAGTGACTGTGGACCCAACAAAACTCAAGCTCAGTGTGGTGGTACACACCTATAATCCCAGCTCTCTAGGAGGCTGAGGCAGGAGGATCAAAAGCTCAAGCCCAACCTGAGCAATTTAGTAATTTAGGGAGACCCTGTCTCAAGATGAAAAATGAAAGGGCTGGAGATGTAGCTGAGTATGAAGGCCCTGGTTCAAGCACAAGTATCGCACACCAACCATCATGGTTCGTGTGGTAGAGAGTGGGATTGGGTGCAGGGTTGAGCAGGCTTCTTTCTCCTCCTGCTTTGCTCTGTAGTGCTGCGTCCCTCGTGGAAATCTCTCCTTGGGGCAGGAAAGAGGGAGGCGGGGTCTTTTCATCCTGAAGCCACAGCTTCAGAGTGTCCGCCCAAGAGAGGTCCAGATGGGCCTTGCGCTGCGGCCTTGGGCGGATCACTGCAGGTTCACGAG